TTTGGGCTTTTTTGTTCTTCTTTTTCTAGTTCCTTTAGGTGTAAGGTTTGATGGTTTATTTGAGATGTTTCTTGCTTCTTGAGATAGGCCTGTATGGCTATATACTTCCTTCTTAGAACTGCTCTTGCTGCATCCCAAAGATTTTGAACCTTTGTGTCTTCAAGGTATGAGTCGAGAGATGAAGGTACTAAGACTGGGTGGAGAGCTCCAGCTCTGGTACAGTTGCAACAGAGGCTTCAGCCAATGCCATGTAGAACTCTACAGCTGGATGGCTCCTTAAGGTTGTCCCAAATGGAGGCAGGGCAGCGAGTCTTTGTCCCCACATCTACTGGTTATTGGGGGCCATATGTGGCAAGTGTGTAACCTTAGGTGAGACCTCTTCACGAGTCAGGGAAGAATAAAGATCTCTCTGGTGTGCCTGGGTGGCTCAGTCAGTTAAGTGTCTGCCTTTGGCTTAGGTCATGATCCCAGGGTCCTGAGATTGAGTCCTGCATTGAGCTCCTTGCTCAGTGGGGAGCATGCTTCTCCCTCTGCCTGCCACTCCCCCTGCTTGTGCTCTCTCTCTCTCTGACAAATAAATAAAATCTCAAAAAAAAAAAAAAAAGAATAAAGATCTCTGAAGAAGGGACCTGGGCTGTGCCTCACAATATCCACTACAGCTCATGTGTGTGTTACTCATTTAATATAGTCTCAGATATGATATAGAAGTGTTTTCTTTAGGATTCTTATAGTTAGTCATTAGTGTGATGAGCTTGCCTTTTTTCCCCTCAATGTGTGGAGTACCTATGTCTGGGTAATTCCAGCTTTCTAAACCAATGCAGAGTACAGAAAATGAGAGAACAGTCCATTTTAATTAGTTGACAATATAATGGAGAAGTTTACTATTTCTCAATATTTAAAGGAACTCACTTGAACTCATCTGTATCTTTGTGGGGGCATAAATTATGGTTTTTGGTACACACACATTTTTTTCTTTACATATTCTTCTCTATCAGAGTCATTTTATATTTTCCTAGAATATCATTTTATTTCAGAGATTTTAAGTTAGGGAATAAATGATAAGAATACAATGTTATAAAGTAAAGAAGATGAATGATTTGTCAATGAGGCATTGCCCATTCCACCTCTCCCTTTTCTTGGTCTCCTTTTTGTAATTTGAGTCGCTGTCTGTATTTCTATAGGACCTCTCTGGGTGCAGCAGAGTGACCATGGTTTGTGGCTTTTCCCTGGTTAGGATGCTTTAGGTGTCCTAAGGGTGTCAGCCCTCACCTGTCAGGTGAGCCCTCAGCGCTCATGGCTCTTTTCTTCGGGAAAAGACCACCCTGCCTGGGTGGTCTCAGTATTCTGAATTTAGAATATGTACCCTTTAACTCTCTGCTCATTCTTTTTCAAAAGGCTGATCCATTTCTTCAGTTCAGGTGGGTATTTATGGAGCACTCACCTTACGCCAGGCACAAATTTAAAACCACGAGCAGAGCAGACGCACATCCTCCCCTCATCGAGCTGATGCTATGGCTAAGGAGTCAGAGGTAAATCACTTAGGTAAATAAGGCGCTAGTGCTTCGTCATGGTGTGGAGAAAAGTAAAGTGGGCATAGGAGCAAGAATTTGGGGGGTGGAGAAGGAGGGGGCTTGCGGTTTGGGTGGGGTAGCCAGGGCAGGTCTCACTGAGGTGGCTGCATGAAGGATACCCCTGCGGGAGGTGTGGGCATGCATCCCGCGGCCATGCGGGGAAGAGAACAAGCGTGTGCCATGGTGAGGGACCCCGGGGCAGGAGTGCGCCTCTACCGGCAGAGATGGATCACGGAGGAAGGCAGCCAGGTCAGAAGGAGAAAAATGTCAGAAGCAGGAGGAGGCCCTCAGATCCGGAAGGAAATGGGGTGGCGTTGCTTTGGGTCCTTGGAGGACTTTGGCTTTTACTCTGTGTGAAATGGGGACATTGGAGGATTTTGAGCAGAGGAGAGGCGTGATCTATTTTACTTTTTACCAGGTTCATTCTGGCTGCTATGCTGAGAATCGGCCAGCAGGGTCAAGGGCAGAAAGCAGTTAGGGAGCGGAAGGGTACGTGCTTCAGACGACCATTTCTCCAGACAGTTTGGTTTAATCTAAGGATAAAATGCAGACTGCTTTCTTTTAGCACGTAGAACTTTGGTTACTCATTTGTATTAATGAAGGCCAATGCCATGAAAATGACCCACACAAGGCAGTCAAATAAAAGCCCACCATTGTTCAGCCCATGAGAATGTTCCTGCATCATCTGGGGTCGCTTTTTCTGGGACCCAGTTCTTTCTTGTCTCCATCCTGGGAAAAACTGTTCCCCTGAGAACCAGCTTGTTTTTCTCTCCTGTACATTGTTAATCTTCTAGTGTCTCCCTGCTTTTTTATTGACAAAGTGCTCAGAGCTAGATCTACAGTTCACCTCTAGCAAGAGTAGAGAACCCGTGGCTCTGCATTCACAGTGTTTCCTACCCTTATTTCCATACAGCTCCATTACAAGGGAAGCTTTTATTCTATTATATTTTTGTGAGTCACTTTAAAATGTGGGAAGCTACAGACAAATTATGGAGGATGCAAAGAGTATCACCTACAGTAAAAAGAAAAATCCAGTTCAAAGCTTGGGTCATTTTCATTCCATAAATGAAAACAAAATATATGCAAATATATATATGCGTACATAAACATAAATAAATAAATACACACACATACACACACACACAGGATTTTCAGGCTGAAACCTTTAGCAGCTTGATATATCACTAAAGCATCCTTCTGTGTCCTGACAGGTTTCCGTGCTCCTAGTCTTCTACCTCAAGTTTCTAAATGTGTTACTTTATCTCCCAGCAGTGTTTGCCGATGATGCTGGACTGAAACCAGCCATCTAGGTTGGCCTGGTTGCTTAGGACCAACAGTAGAGTTTATTAAAAATATACCCCTCAGCCTCTGCTATTCTTTCTGACTGAATGAGGCTTGAGAACTTTGAAAATATTTTGCACAAACAATATATTTTCTGGGATCCTGGGTTTTTGAAGACATTTTTTTTTTTTTGGTTTTGTTTTCTTTATTGTTGAACAAGTGCTTGACAGGTATAGAAGTCTTGGGCTAGATTCTCCTTGTCTTAAGATTCTGAGTGTTGCCCATTGTCATTTACACTTACTATTAAATCATGTAGTTTTTGTGGCATTCATGGTGACCCTCTCTCCACCCTGACACTTTATTTTTTAATTTATGTTAATACTTAAACTTTGAAGAAAAGAAAGGGCAGATATTCCTCGACATGAGTTTCTAAGAGTTGGTCATTTATTTTGCCTCTTAATCTCGAGTCCTTTTTTCCTTTCTAGAAAGTTCTTTTCGATTATGTCCCGGCCATTACTTATAATCTACAGGTTGTTTGTATTTCCCTTTGGAACATTTTATTCATGGGTTGGATTTCTGTGATCTCCCCTCCATTTCCATTTTCTTAGGTTTCATCCTTTTTGCTCCCTTTTCTTTATGTTCTCTGTGTTCTGGGATTACTTCTCAGTTTTGTTCTCTGCAGTGTTCAGCTGCGTTAAGTGAACCTTTCATCAGTTCTGTTAGGACTGTGTTTCAACTCCTGGGCCTTCAGTTCATCAACATCCCTTCTCATCTCTGTGCTTTCTGGTTTAATAAAAGTAACATAAATATCACTTGGCATAGAAGGCCAGCATCTTCTGAGAAAATCTTCTGTTCATGAAGGTAAAACCTTTTTAGATGAGAAATTTCCCTTTTGAGCTATTATCCCTTTCTCCCTCTTGTGCAGTGAGATTTTTGTTTTTTCCCCTCCTGGGCTTTGGATTAGTCCTTCCTTGCCCCCTAATGCTTGAACAAGGCGAAATCTAACTGGGTCCAATGTGGAGCTGTACAGTGGAGAACTTCCCATCTGTCTCCTTCCCTTGATCATTGCAGTGACTCCCCCAGCTTTTTCCCACCACTTCCTGCCTCATGGATGGGGGCAGAATGAAGTCTCACCCAACGGCTAAGAGCTGCCTGTCACCAATTTAGCCCACTCTGTGCTTAGCACTGCACTTGGCACGTGGGGGCGCTTGACAAGATGCTTTCCGAAAATCTGTAAAAGAAAATCCCCTTAGCAAAGGGTGTGATATTGAAACTATCTCAAAGCTGTGATAATCAGCATTTTGTAAGTAATTTTCTTACTTGATGGCCAAGCATGAAAGCACCATGAGTGACTCAGAATGTTTTTGACTCATGAATTTGATCTCAACAGAAATATATATTACCCCTGGCTATTAAAACACGACAATAATTTGTATTTTCTCTAATCCTGGATCGTAGCTTCCTTCCCGGTACCCGCCTCTCTTCTGCTGTCTAGAAATGCTGGCTCTTGATTTCCATTCAGCAGAGGTTGCCAATTTAGAAAGGACAGACATTTATCTTGATGCTTAGTAAAAGTGGAAATATATACATTTTGGATCCTGAAGTTATGCGGTGTGAGATCTTATTGATCTGATTTTTTTTTTTTTGATTGGGAGAAAAATATAGAAGTTTTCTAGAAAACAGATCACACTGTGGACTATACTCTTCATTTTATCAGCTGAAGATAAAATTAAAAAAAAATCAAATCATCAGGTTATCCGATTTGTTTGTAATCTGCTCTTAGCGTAAAGGTTACCCTCCCCCATTCCCAGGATCTTTCAGAGACAAAATCCTCTCAAAATAGTAGGTAACTTAGAAACAGTGCTTTAATTCTGAGATGGACAAGAGAGAAGCCTCATTTAACTGGGCTTTCCCCACCTTCCTCTGCAATGGCTCAAAACAGGCCTCCTTTAATGAGAAAGTTTACCAGCGGAGATTAAACCAGTCAAGAATCAGAATGAAGGACCATGTCCAAGGTACCGGATGGTTTAATCTTCTGCAAGAACTTCATATCCCTTCAACCTTGGCAGCTGTAGATCAAACGGCAGAGTGTGAACATTAAAACCACGCAGTGAGAATAATGTGTCTCTATTTCATTTCTCTTTCCAGGTTTGAGATTTTTAAGAGCTCTCAGACTGATACAGTTTTCAGAAATTTTGCAGTTTCTGAATATCCTTAAAACAAGGTAAGATGTTCCTATTCACATTTTTTTCCTTGCTCTGGCCCCCATTGCCAAGTTGTAAATATCAGGTGTTTTTGTTTTCATCATTGTAAGGTGAGAGTTCTGTTACTCTCAGAAAGAGTGCTCTAGGGGCGCCTGGGTGGCTCAGTCGTTAAGCGTCTGCCTTCGGCTCAGGTCATGATCCCAGGGTCCTATGATTGAGCCCTGCATCGGGCTCCCTGCTCAGCGGGGCCTGCTTCTCCCTCTCCCGTTCCCTCTGCTTGTGCTCTCTCTCTCTCTGTCAAATAAATAAATAAAATCTTTAAAAAAAAACCCCAAAACAGAGTGATCTAACACAGAGATCTGGAGAAAGCCCAGAGTAGGACTTGGGTTGCTCCCCTCTGCAGAGCTGGGGACTATCTGATAAACAGAGAAACAGCTGTGCATGGGGGGAAGGAGACAGTTTTGGGGGGCTGTGCGGGTTGCTTGGAAGTTGGCCATAGCATCCTGGAGAGACGGTGCCCAGTGGATGAGGAATCGAGCAGCTCATTGATTGGGAAGTCTTTGCTCCCGGGTTCTGAATCACCCCTTTATTACATCACTAAATAAGAAATTAAACCTGAACGTAAAAGCAAGGGAAGCAGTGCTCTTTGAGAGAGACAATCAGAAACCTCATACTACAAACAGAAAATCATTTCATTTCAAAGTGCATTTTGGATGTTCACTTTATAGCCAGGGTAGTCCCTGGGGCTTGCTCTGTGAATTGCCTTTTGGGGAATACCTAAAAATCTCCTGCCGAATGCACCGTGACGACTTCTGTTAACTGTGTCATGATCTGGAAAACACTACTGGACCAGGAGGAAAAATCCCCTAGAGATCCCTTTCCTGATGACCTGCGGGTTTGCAGAGCTGGCCCGAAACCAGGCTGCCTTGATGAATAAACTAATAAAAGAGGTTAGACGTCCTCTAATGGAGAATAAGTACAGGCCATAAATTTCTCTTATAGGAAATTACACTTTAAGAAGCTCACTGCTAATGTTCCATTTCCTCTTAGGTTGACGTGTTTGATAAATGATTAAAAACAGGACACTTCTGGATTTTGTGATTTATAATTAATACACCTGCATTTTGGGAGCCTTGGATTCAGCATCGTTTTCCCAGTCACTGAGGCTGGGGACTTAGTTTGCCAAACCTGTCACTGCCAACACATGCGACAGGCTATTGGCCTCCCTCTTTGGGGTTTGTGTTTTCTTGTTTATTTTGGTTTGTCTTTTTAATTTATTTTTAATTTATTTTTATTTATTATTATTATTTTTTGGATATTTTAGTTTGTTTTAATTCCACATCGGTTTCTCCTCGATAACTATTCATCTGTGTGCATGTGGGGTAAATTCGCTTTCTGTTAGCCAAGGTAAGAAGCAAACGAGCATCTACTACAGTAGAAGTCCTGTCTAGTGTGTCCCAACCACGCTGCATTTCTATTACCCTGGGGTGAACATTTATTGATGTTCCATTTAATAGTACGTAGTATTACTAATATTGAGTGAATATTGTTATTCTTCCTATTTCTTCTGGGCGACAGGAACCTTTCTTGGCTCCTTCTCCCTTTTTATGGCTCTTCTGGGCAATGGACTCATACTACTCTTGAAATTAAAAGTATCGATAAACTAGTGGCCCTCCACGCTTACCTTTGTCACAATTGCCCCACTAAACTATATTTTTTAGGGTAGAACCGGTGTGTACCCAGGGCCAAGCGCAGGGAGTGTATTTAAGAGACACTTGTTTTTTCCAGTGTGGAAGGTGTTATGTGGAGTTAACCACACTCCCAAATGTGATATAAGGCCCCTCGTTCCCTGGTTTGTGTGTACATTATAAGTTGGGGGGGGTTTAATGCTCTGACACCAGTGTTTTAAGAGTGTGCCATTACTCCAAGGAATAACGTGGAAAGAAAACTGTTCTCATTTTCCTTGCATTCCATATGGACCATTTTTGGACTTGGGAGAACAATAAGCCAGGTGAATAAAGTATCTTTTCCTGGACTTTTATGAAGAGACCCACCAATTTCCCATTCCTTGGAGAAGCTTCCTTTCTGTTCGGTGCAGAAAATAGCACTAACACCCCCGGTGATAACCGCACAGTTAGGGTGGTTCATTCTCCCAGTGCACAGGGGAGAGAGCCAAAGCATCCAGCTAGGGAGAGAGGTGACTATAAGTCGGGAGAGAGTGGCCTTAGAGAGGGTCCCCGGGGTGGCAGGCTGCTGGGTGTCTGCTCTCCTGAGACCCAAACAGCATTTCCCCAGCACCCCACTTCCCACCCAGTTAAACTCTTTCTGTGGTGGAGGGGGTTTTCTGCACAACCCCACAACTTGGATTATCCCAGTGCCTGTTGCTTATGCAGGTGACTGAGTTAATTCAACAAGCCCGAATTGAGTGTCCATTCGTACCAGTGGCCAGGCAGGTGCCAGAGTAGCATCCTGCTGTCAGAGAGCACAAGGAGAGGGAGAGCCAGCAGGACCTGTGGTGGGTTGGTGCTGGGACACAGGTACATCAGGGGGCAGTGAGGCATGGAGGAGAGGAATGAAACCAGGCTTGACACCAGTGTACGGTAGTCAAGCCTTTTTTCAAGGAAAAGGGATTGTCTTAGGTAAGCTTCCTAGAAAACTAGGTGTCGTCCATGTGGGGCTGGGCTTGGGCAGGTGAGGGCCAGAGAAAGGCAGTGCTGACCTCCAGTCACAGAAGTTGCGAAAGCACACAGGTGAGAGAAATTGTTCCTTGGGGGAGCTTTGAGTAATCCTGTGGGCCTGTATACTGGGGGCTTTGTGCTAGGAAAACAGAGATGACATTAGGAGGGCCTGCAAGGGCCAGATCCCAGACTCGGAAGAAAACCTGACTTAATTGTAAGAACTCTAGAGGCTTTAGACCAACTCTCTGAGCCCATTCTCTCTCCTTCCCTCTGTGCACCCCCGAGCCCAGATCCTGAAGGCTCTGATGCCGAGAAGAGGAAACCTTGACTTTTATAGGGCTTTGGACACAGCTTATTTTCTGGTGACTCCTCTGTACTCTGCTGTGTTCACAGTGACCTTCCAGGAGGGTGGGTGCAGCCCTGGAATCTTCTCTAGGGGGTTTTGTCTGGCTTTCTCCGGTGGCCAATCCCCACCACCGATCTGTGGCATTAGGTAGGGATAGAGACTTTGCAAATGTGATTTGAAATAATGGCTTGAAATTGCAGTTTCATTTTCTGTCCTTTGGCTGCCTTGCTTTGCAAAGAGCTGGAAGAAACAGAGCGGAGAAGTATATGGGGGAGAGAGAGAGAGAGAATTAAGTGGGCAGCAAAGGAAACTGGAGTGAACAGAATGACAGAGAAAACGCAGATAAAAGAAACAAGTCACAGTGATGGGACAGCATCAGGGCCATTCCTTAAACTGCCAGCCAACAGGGCAGCCTACCGTGCTCCTTGTCTGGAAAATGGCCTATTGAGGGGGACAGGGTCCCTTCCATGTCATTGTCTGAGCTTTTGACAGTGCCTCAGTGGCCCTGCATACTGACGAGCAGACTCACAGAGGAGATGACACGTAATTATTCTACACTCAGAGCAAAATAAGTAGCTCGGTTTTAAAGCCTGTCATTCCACATCTCATTTGATGTGTACATGTTGATGATGAAAACGTGGGTCATCCAACAATTTGTTTTAAATGGCAATGGCCTTACTAATTATTAAAGTAGACTATGCTTGGGGCTCAGTCGGTTAAGCATCCAACTCTTGATTTCAGCTCAGGTCATGATCTCAGGGTCGTGAGATCGAGCCGGGTCTGTGCTGGGTGTGGAGCCTGCTTGGGATTCTCTCTCTCCCTCTCTCTCTGCCCCTCCCCACCCTGTGCTGTCTCTCTAAAAAAAATAATAAGATGTAGAAAAGCATAAAGGATAAAGTAAAACTTCCCCAACCCCACCTGTGGTTGAGACAAACATTACTAATATTCTCCCATATCACTTTTATTTCCCGCAGAGTATTCCATGATATGTGTGCACCGTCATTTACCTAACCCACACATTTTGGGGGAACATTTGGAGAACTAAAATCACTGTACTACAAATATGATCTTGGAAATGGCTCCAAGGTTAAGTTCTTAAAAAAGAGTATTTATTATGGAGATGGCAAGGGGTTGTCCGGGTGGAGGCCATACCATGAAGGCTCTTACGCATCATGGATTTAACTTGGAGAACGAGAAGGAATCACTGAAGGGTTTAAGTAGGACAGGAATGTGGTCAGATTTACATTTTAGAAAGATCTACTAGTCCACCGATCGTATGATGGGTTTGAAGCATCTAAGACTGGAGACCGTTAGACCAGTCAGGGCAGTAGTCCAGGCAAGCAGTACCAGGAACTGGCCTTGAGCAGTGCAGGTCGGGGTAGGGAGCACAAAGAGGGGTGGAGAGGTATTTAAGGGGCAGAATTGACGGAACCTGGTTTTGCTTATAGTTCAGACCATTTATCTCAATTTGATCTTATCCTGTTGACTTTTCAGGGGTGGGATCTTACATCTGTGCAGCAAAGGTAACAATAAAAAAAAATAAAGCCACTGACACCTGGCTGTACCCTAAGCCACAAAGGAGGAAAATAGTGGACAAACCGAACAGGGACAGATTTGCCCTTTTTTGTAGAAAATGGATGCCATTTTTCAGTGTTAACCAAGACATGTCTTGTTAAATACAGTGAGGGCAAAGATGGTGCACACTAGCTCTGGGTTTGTAGCTATACTTTCAGAAAGAGACAGACTTTCTCTCTTCCAGTATGTACGTGGTCCTGGAAAGGTCTCTGATCTACAGGGACAGTAAGATATCTGTGCCTGCCCTTGGATAGTTCATTGTATCTAGTAATGTAAATTTCTCTCATGGCAATTGAGAACTCATGAGTTGGGGACCCAGAAATGATAATGGACAACATAAAAATGATTTTCTTTAGATGAGTTAGGTTCTCATGATAAGGTCACAGTCCATCCCTCCCTCAAGGCACGAGAAAGGGGCTTG